AGTTCGTAGTGTTAGTTCAGTTCCCATAGTAGAAACACTGTAGGCTCTTTTAGTAGTTAAATAGTAAAATTTGAAGCAGTGTTAGTTCTTGCAAGGTACTGTAAATCACGTTACTAGTAACTAAAACTACCACTACTATCAACTTTAGTGCACTCTTTGTTGCCATGGCGCTGGGCTAAAGTTTCCCGGATGTAGTTTTATCTACTGTTCAATATGGCGTCAGAAAAGTAAGACTTCGGCTAATGTCTCAGTTTGTTCAAACTTGAAACGGACCTGCTCTTTTATACAGGGGGGATAATATTTCCAAGATTCTGCGGCAGCGGAATAACGTTTTACCGCGAGTTTTTGGTGAGTATGGGCTTTCTGTTTTTGTTTGTGGCAGTTAAGGCGTTAGTTCATCAGGTTGTGGCGCGTCTGCGCTTTAGCTGCTAGCAGCGGCTAATGCTAACTGCTTTCAGATCCAGTCCAAATGAGTTTGTCACTAAAACTGACTTCTCTGTACTTTCTGTGTGTTTTAATGATTGTTTATGTACATTTGTGAGATAAACTAAACAGCTACGTGAAAGGGTTATTGTTGTTGAAGTATGACCAAGTTACAATTAGGCTCTGAGTCACTTGTGAAAGTTGCTCAACTACTTAACACCGCAGGTCACCGTGATCAGGCTCGTTCTACATTACGGCAGTTTCTGTGTTAAGACCCTCTAAGGTTTAGGCTTACTGGTAAATCCAGGGCACATCCTGGTTCAGGTAATACTATAGCTGCAACTTTCTGTGTGACAGCTTTCATGGGTCAACGCAAACAAATGTCTTCCACGATGTCATTTATCAACAAATGGTGTTGTATGGCTCTGTATGTGCTGAGACTGTTTAACCGGTTCCTGTGAGTTACAAGCACGCAGTGATTTTAATTTTAAAAGTAAGGGAGACACGGTGTTGTGTGTCTGACAATAGGACGAGTGTACATTACCAATTAATTAGGTTTTTCATTTTGCTTGAACCCTAACACCACCGTTCATTGTTTTTTGTCAAGCACTTCCTCTCGTCGTTTGTTGATGCAATTCTTTACATCTTTTCTACTCACGTTACAAACGAGTATTTGCAATACACGTGGGACTATTGAAATGTGAAGCAGATTTTGCATCCACTTGTTCTGTCAGTGAGGTTGTGTAATTAGTGCTGGGTACACATTCCTGAGATACCAGGCGTATATAGTGGGGATCATTCTGCTTCGTTACACACACCATACTATAACCCATAATTAATATTTGTTTCAGCAGAAGCTGCATAGGATATTTAGGAAGCATTCCTCTATAAGGAAGCAATGTTTCTAGTTGATATGAGAATTAAAAGCATTCTAAGTCTGAGACAGTGCTTTCCAGTGGGTTGAGACATTTTAAGTTATTTATTATTGAGGATACAGCAAAGGTAACAGGTAGAAGATTATTGAGCATTTGCTCCAGTTCTTAAGCAGTGGTGACAATAATTAAGTAAGGACAGGCTGCTGCCGCTGCTTAATGTAAAGAGCAGAAACCCTGCATGTAGGCTATATAATATACCATAGTACATAGTGTATTTACAGGAGATCAACATTACTGAACTCTTTTAATAGTCTATTTCTGGCTGGAAGCTGTTATGCTGGGAAAGGCACCATGTGTTACACCTGTTCAACAGCAACAACAGTGGGTTGCCTGCAGATACATCTGTTAATAATTCAGCATATTACACTATGGCTAGGATCAATAGTCTAAAAATTATAGAAATATCGTCATTTAATCAGTCTATGGCAATATACTCTACTGCTGAGAGCTGATTACATAAAGGCCCTGCCGATATGCTGATCCTTATTTTGATAAGGATACCTAAGCTACCTTATCACTTTTTAACCATATCATTAATATAATAATACTAATGATATAAGGTTTTCAGTCATTTTAAACTTTTTGAAAAACCTTGCTAAAACCTGCAGCACTACACTTGTTTTTCTCTCTCCAGACAGGAGGCTTCAATTAGCTCTCTGCGCCCCTCCCTGCTTTAGTAGCAGTAGTAACAGTGAAAGCATCTGTTACCCTGGAGGTTAAAATGGAGCCAACTAAAGAAAACCTTTTTCAGCTGGTTGTCAAAAAATATCAGACTATTGTTCCGGTGACAACCATACGTCTGGCCAATCAGAGGAGATTTTAGCCTACCTTTTAACCGTTCCATTGAGATGTGCTTTTCATGAAAGATCATTTGTTTGGGGATGAATTGATTTTAGCATCAATGGAAAGGGAAAAAATAGACTTAGGTGAGGGAAAGATAAGTCAAGAAAGACATGGACTTGTATGAAGGGTGGAGGCCAGGTACTGAGCCAAGGATTTTATGTGAAGAGCAGGAGTAAGAATGAGAAAGACACTCGCATCAAGGGAATGTGAAAGAATGAAAAGGAAAGTGAATTCATATTATTTGAAGTGTAAAAGCAGTTTAGGGCTTTTATAATTGTAATATCTACATCAAAAAAGCTTCATTTTTGCCCTCTTATGCTGTGTTGAAGTGGAGATTGAGACATCTTTGTCATGAGATGCCTTTTAATTTACAATTGACAAGTAAAAAATACTTTTGACTAGTCCTCCAAACATTAATAATGTTTATAAAACATTGTCTAGTGCCTATCTGACTAGATAAAGAGATAATAAAGTGGGCGGCACAGAGTGAAAGGACACAATGAAGGGCAAATAACAAACGGTTGATTGTCATTTTTTCTCTCAAAGGAAAATAGGGCCAGACTTGTCTTTGCCTTGGAGGGAGAAAAAAGGCCTCTTTGGAATGATTTTAGCAGCCAACATCAACATAAACTCTCTAGGTGTTCAGGAACAGAAGTGCAGAGGCAAGAACTCTGTGTGAATAAAAATATTATTATTACCATAATAATAAGTGAACTTCTTTTAAATCATTGTTTCAACCACCATAACAAAATTACAATGCTAGCCTTGTTGTTTCATATTTTGAACTTTATACCATAGACGAAAAACGTTAAAGGAATTAAATTGAAATTGTATTTAATATTTATGCTGTTTCTCCATCTCTTTTTAATCCTAGGGAACAGCGATGTTCCCTAAGATTAGCTGTTGAGCTGTGTATTTACTGGCACAGTTGTTTAAATTTTCACAGAAAAGATATCAAGTGCAGGCCTGCACCTCCATGCAGGTATGGAGGTCTGACACACACACACACACACACACACACACACATACACACACCTTGCAGAACCTACTGGATGGTGTTTTGTGTTTTTGTCATTTATAGAGGGAGGCGCAACAAGAGGAACAAATTTGTTTTGTTTGTTTGCTTTTTCACTTCACGTGCTGCTCAAAGATTTTGGATGACACATGCAGTGCTTTTGTTGTTGAACACAATGTCTTCCTGTCAATGAATGTTTCATATTTTTTCATATATTAAACCAGATGCTTTGGTTTTAAAGTGTTTTTATTTACATTATAATTCACTTAGAGTTGTGTTTTATTTGTTCCAGTAGACAAAGATAGTATTCTATTTAAATCATAAACCACATTATGGAAATATAAGGGTGCAAAAAATGTCACTTGGCTGCAAAAAAAAAATCCTTTTACAGCAAGTGTTTTGAAAATATTTAGCACTAGAATACAAATTTCTTAAATTTACTGTTTCCCTGGTTGGAAACAAACATCATGTTCATGCTGTATTTGGCAGCAGCTCTCTTATAGTATTTCTCAGTCCAAATGAGTGATGACTGGACTGGCTAATGACAGGGAGGACTGGAATGATGTTTAACTTACACAACTTACACAAAAACAACATTACCTCAGTGTGTCTCCATTTTAAGCATTTTAATGTTGTTGCTGCTGCAGATGGATTTTGCTACGTGACATTTCAGAAGCGCTTTGATCTAAAACAAACCTGCTTACACTGCAGAACAGTACTTCGTGAATATTGGCATGAAATGTCATGACACATGTAGGTGACAACAAACATGTCTCCTTACTCTCAACAGGAGTTCATGTCTGGCACCTTCCCCCTGTTATTACTTTATAGATTGCATTGTTTGTGTCCAACACTATCGTTCTATTTGTCTGCGATACTTTAACATTCACCCTTGTACTTGTGAAGAGTTCACAAACTCATTCAAGTGAACTTGACAAATCTATTTCAGTCACACTCAGTGTCAGTGGAGGGCAAACTAAGGTTGAAAGGTTCTGTGCTGTGTCTGTGTCGGTAAGAGAGCTGAAATACGTCTAAGCCAGTGATTCTGAGAGCTTTATCATTGACCTTTCCACATTCCACAGTCTACCTCTGGAAGTCAGTTCTCATTGGCTGCCACAACATGAGCTTTGTTTGAACTCAGCTTTGAGATTGGCAGGTTTGTATGTTTCTGGGTCTGATGTCTTGAGTGGATGTGTTGCTGCTGTATTTTATTCTCTCAGGAATGTCTAAAAGCCTTTTACATTACTAAGCCTAACAAGTGTCAGTCTATGTGTTGGTGTAAGGAATAATGAAACACAATGACAGTATTATTTTTGGTGTACAGGAATAGTGTGACAGGAAGTGTATTTACAGTGCCAGTATGTTTCAGACAAAAGCAAACAAAAGGAAACTGGTGTGTAAAAGGTGTTGGAACAACAGGGTAATATATTTGGTTTGATTGGTTCTACCAAAGTAATGGGAACAACAGGGTAATATATTTGGTTTGGTTCTACCCAAGTAACTAATCATGTAAAATAAAGTAGCTTTAAAATGCCTTTCCTTGGATTACTACTAGCATAATGTGTTCGGTCCATTTAGCTGATTTTATACCCTGCTGCATATGAAAGTGTCAAAATGTCACAAGAAAACTACCAGTTGTCTGCATAGTAAAATACGTGAAAAAATTAAAACAGATTATTGCTTTAATCCAACTAAGGGATGCAAAGTTGTTGTTAATACCCTGGGAAAAACAAGCAAAGTGAAGAGTTTAGCAGGATTTGCTGAGCCTAGCTTGAGCCATGGCAGACCAGCCATTGTAAGTAATTAATCTCTAAAGAAAACCTCTCTGTAAGTATGAGGTGCAGGTATTGTCATAATAAGGCGGATTTAAATGTTAAAGGTGTAGAGCTCCGATGTTCAATTGTTAGTCGCTTTGCTGTATCATCAACGTGGCCAGCAGCCAGACCAATCAACATGGACGTCCCAGGAGGAATTTCCGTTTACAAAATGTAGTTGCTTCTTTCCTTTTCTTAAATTTTCTGCTACCTCCTTTCTAGCCCTTGTTCTTGTGGAATTTATGTCAGAAAAAGTCAGAGAATGTTTTTAAAGAACAATAATGATTCAGCACACCGACCCATTGACAAGGGCATCGTGTGTGCATCTGTAGCACCATCTAGAGGACAGGAATTATGTGTGTAAACAGTAAAGACGAATATATTGACGCCTGAAATAGTGAAGTGATACAGAACGAGGAAAAGTTGTGAAGTTTGGTATCACACTAGTACTAATCAATCTCCCTGTTTCCCCTCGTGTTTGCCTGACGTTTTCTCACTCTTTTTATTTCTCTCTCCTACTTTCTTTTTATCTGTCTCTCTCTCCCGTTGACGTCATGATACTGGGCCGCTCTTTTGGTGAAACCATAGGAATGCGACACACACTAACACTCACAGTTTGTATTTTCAGCAGTGCACAGCCCTAGTAGTGTGTTGTCTGCTCGTGTCTGTGCTTCTTCGCTCGAGCGTCAATCATTTTTCACCGTCGTCAACGTCAACTGAAACAGCGCGGTGGTTTTACACTCGTTCTCTCTCTCTTTTTTTTACGTCGCTCTCAGCGCCGTTCCCCACATGAGTTACGGTGGATAGTACACGTTCGTCTATGCGTTGCCGTCGTTGTTGTACTTGGGACTGAAAGAGGTGAGTTACTGACAGGTTTTAATGAACGCCTTTCTCATCGACATGGTGCATTTGACCACGGGGTTTGTCGTGAAAAAAAAAACTTTACACCCGCAGCTGTTTCCGTGCTGTGCCGTGAAAGTCGGTAAAGTATAGTTGAAAACTCTTAGCTCGGATTAACCGAGACAGAGTGGAAAACATAATACTTTTATTGTTAGTCTGATGTGCAGGAGGGCAGTGGTCAGAGAGTGAAGGATGTGTGTATGACACAGACAGTCCTGTTGGACTGCTCCTCTTCTTCCCTGTCTCCTCCCTTCTCTCCCGTCAAAGCTCTTTGTCATTGATGTTCCTTCTGTCAGACAGCTGGAGGACTCAGCTGTTCAGCTCATGACCCGGTACACAAATGTATGTGACACATGGAGATAATGAACGGAACAGATCTTAGATAATGATTTACTTTAGCCCACAGATTTGTTTAGGAGGAAGTTGGACACTTTGCTTCTCATGTACAGTCAGCTGGTTTCCCCGTAATTGGTTTATATTTTAATCTTTGAACTGTGATAAGAATAAAAATAGCATATCTATATATATATATAGTGCGAATATATATATATATTGTGTATGTATTCAGGCTTTTGACTGTTACATTTCTGTTTTAAAAAATCTATTTTAAAGTGTCAAGAGTTTGTTGGGATTTTTAGTATGTTTTTTTTGTTGTTGTCGTTCGTTTAAAAAAATGGGAGTCTGTAGGCTTTGTTTACATAAAAGTATAGCTGTATAATGTATATGTACAATTTTATTTTGGGGTCAGAATGACCAAGAACAACAGTGTTGAGCTGACTGCAGTATTTTCTGTGGCGTAAAAATAGATTTGACTTACCAGGGGTTGAATGTGTTCAGGACAGTCCTAAGGTAATCATGTTGTCATTTTCTAAAGTAGAATTAGAATTTGAAGATCAAATATGAGAGGAAACAAAGCTTGATTGACCAATTAATAGTACTAATAGAACCTAAAACCAATTCTTAAGACCATGAATATTCACGAAAAACATTTCAAATTTCAAAACACTGACACCAGCAGAGCAGTGCCATGTTTTGAGAACTTAATGGGGGATGACTGTCAGAAGTCACCACCCAGAAAAGTAACCTGCTGTAATGAAAGGACAGCGTTCTCACCTGTATCATTTGTCAATGCTGAGGCTTTGACTTGGGGCTAGAAATTAGTGACTATTGTCTTTTCAGAAGAAACAGAAGCAGAACAGTTGACAGTTATTTTTTTCAGCCTTCTCATATGCAGTGTTACATGTAATGACTTCAGTTTTTTATGTATATTCTTATCATATGTTTATTATGCAATTGATTACAAATGAAGGCTATTGTTTGACACAGAGGGATGCAGCTGTTGTGTAACACCTGTGTTGACCAGCTGCTGTGAAGGGTGGAACTATCAGTCACCACTGGTGTAATGTAACTAAACTTGTAACTAAACTTGTACTTTTGTGCAGTGTTTCTTGATTTTTGGATCTGTGGCTGCCACACATGCAGTGCGAAATGGCTGACATTCATTACAGCAGCCAGTAGCTCCAAGGTCGTACAGTATGTTTGCATAGTGTCTAATAAATCTTTGAAATGTTGTAGAGGGTTTCCCTCAGTTAGAGTGTTTGTGTCTACAGTAGTGCCTGAACAAACTGTTAAATGTCGCAAATAAGACAGGACAAGTAAAATATTGTTAAGATTTCAGCAACAATAATGGTAAACGCCGGTGTTTTGTATGTCCTTTGCGTCACCTTTTTTTTTCTTCTCTCAACATAGTGTGAGAAATGTCAGCCTACTCCTTTTGCAGGTTACTGTGTGTGTGTGCTCCATCAGCTTCTTTGGCAGTCTACCAGCCTTCGTTTAGAGGCTATTTATTGGCTCAGTTCAGGATGTCTTTGGCTGCAACATTTTGAGATTTAACACCCACTCAGGCTTGTCACGCCCCAAGGTTTGGTGTTTTGCATTGATCCAGGGGTTTAGTCAGCAAGCCTAAAAATAGCCTATTTTTAGTTTGTTGTTATTTTGTCTTGTTTTGTTAGCCAGTTTTTTTTAATGTTTTTAATAAAATCACTTTTTAAGGATGTAGAACAAGATTACCTGCCTCGACTAATTTAATGTTATCTAATACTATGAGACAAAATGTTTTGATTTACTTGGCCATTCAAAACATCGCAGTAATGTAAAGTCATCTTACATGCTTAAAGTGTATTTGCAGTGGATCATGACATTTTATTTGGACTTTTTCAAGTGTGTTTACTTTGCTCCTCTCAGCACCTTAGTGTTGACCGTGTCCTGTTGAGAAGTTATGTGAGGCATGTCTCTGTGGAGTTAGTGACAGAAAATCATTAGTGTACTAAGGAAATGTGCGATGTATACTCTTTGTCATTGCTGATGCAGGTTAGCTTGGTTTTCCTGTGTAATGTCTCGGTCCTTTTGGTGCTTACACTGGAAATTAGAAATTAGTGGATCAAAGAAATTACATTGATGAGGTCAACTTCTCTCTTGCCCTTTTTTTTACATTTTAGGAACAATTGTAGTTGTATTAATTTAAGAATATATTTATGTTTATTGCATAAATATAATAAGTAATATTAATAGTAATCACTAATAGGTACACAATAATATATAACTATTATTACTGGTATAACTATCTCTTATACGTGAGAATCTGTCTCCATTACATTTCCAAGACTTTTTAGATTAGCTTTTATTGCGCTAATTTTATATCTGTTAACACAACTATTGATAGATCTATAATAATTTTTATAAGAATTTAAGAAATACATTAATTTATGGTAATTATAATTTTTTTAATAAATGTTAGTCTGATTTTTATTATTCAAGTATATCCTTCTTCATCGTTGGTATAAACTGTTTTGTTTTGACTGATGGCTTCTTTCCCATTGTGGACCACCCATGTACAATACTAAAAATCAGGCCAGAGGACAGCAGCTTCATCCAGGACTCATCAGCCTGGACAGGCTTTCTCACTGTTCAGCCAGGCATACATGGACCACAGTAGAGCAATACCAAGAGAGAGGATGGGGGAGGTTAGATGAGATGGGGCACAGGGAGAGGGGACCAGGGATAGATAGATGTTTTAAATTGGAAAAATTGGGTGCAGTGAAAAATAAAGAGGAAAGAGAGAGAACGTGGAGCGAGAGGGAAAAAAACAAAAGGCCTTTTGGAAAAAATGTAGTTGATGTAAGGGGGAGAGAAGGGGTGTGAGAGTGAGAGGAAAAAAAACAGGGAAGGTGTAGTTACTGTGCTTTTTGTGTTCAAAGAGACATTTGCTTGTTTTGCTCTCTGAGAGGAGGGGCACTGATGGACCATGTGCTTCACTGTGTGTCTCTTTGTGAGTGTGAGTCTGTTTTTGAGGGGGAAAGAAAGAGAGAGAGAGTAACACTGTTTGAGTGGGTGGCAGGGTGCAGCAATATACTTTTGTTCAGCTCTTTATAAGATTTTAATGTGTCCAGTCATGTCTCATTGACTGTTTCAACTTGTACGTCCTAGATTTTTTCGCTTTGAAATCTGAATTGTCAAATATATAACAGCCATTTTTAAAATGTTACTGCTATACACACGTGTGTGTGTTAGTCACAGTGTGGAACTGTTTTTAGTGCACAGTCGTTTTTTTCCAGTCAGTTTATAGCTTTTCTTGCTTTATTTGTATTCTTGGCTTTGGCTTTTTGTAATACAGTAGGTTGTTTGTTAGCCATAACAGCTCTTTACTGCTTTATTTTGAAAATAGATGTTTTATTTAGGTGAAAGCAGATGGGTTTGAGCAAAGTTAGATTGTATTTAATAGATTTTTTGATTCAGTATGTGGTTATTTAGCATTATATACGTTGTTTCTCATTTACACGTACATTCTTATGCATATATGCAAATAAAATCCTTGTGTGATTTCAGATGGTTGGCTTTGTCATCCTTTGTTAGTATTTCATAGGGAAAAATATCGAGACAGTTCATATATCATAATTTACTAGGATAAATATCGAGACATGGTTTTTGGTCCACATGGCCACACTGTAGTAAGAGTTACAGTAGTTAAAAGTTAAAATAGTTGAATCATGATGTTCATAGTTTGGGTTTCAGCCATAGTTGTTGGGATGTATTCTTTGTCAATGCTTTTCCATCACAATCATGGACTCAGCATTTCTTAGAAACACTATATGGAGCGGCAGACACCTGTTGCTCCTTTTCACTTGTCATGTTATAGCATTTGTGATTTATGAGTGAACATGAAGGGGTTGAAGGGACACTTGGCCCCAGGGCTGTCTGTGTCTGAGGACTGTACATCTGCTGAAGCTGTCAATCACTTTTCTTATGTTCTTTCAGGGCCTTATTATTATTATTATTGTTAGTAGTAGTAGTCGTACACCATCAATATTGTGCTTCCCTCTAAAAGAAAATAAGTCTTTCTCACTAAGTCTGTTTGTGTTTAGCCTTCATTTCATACAAAGCTAATTTTCTCTTGGCACCACACAGAGGCAATAAAATGTTTCCCCCACACTCTTCTAAACCCCAGCGCTTTGAGCATATGCAGATCTTTAGCTCTGTGAACATCTTGAAAGCCAGACCACTGTTTGTAAATATGAGGCGCTCGGCGTCAGTCTAAAGCCCCATATGACAATTTTTCAAACACGATTTACTGCAAAAACTCCACCTGCTTTCAATTAGTTTAGATGACTGTAGCCGTTACAACCTCAGATTTCTCATTTCTCCAATAGATTACGGTACCAATAAGAGGGTGCATCACATATCGGTTTGTCATTGTTAGCACTAGTGGGTCTTTTAATAACTTTCTAATGTATAGTTTGTTAACATTGCCCTTTAAGGCAGTAGTGATTGTCTTAGGAGTTCAGATTCCTTGATTGATTATATTGCTGTTTCAGTCTTAAGCTAATGATAGGCCTCCACAGTGATTAATGTGCCTCTGCTGTTGTCACCAGGCCCATTGTGAATAGAGTGAGGCATTTAACACTAGTGTTGTAACTCACTGTTATGAGAAAGTTGTATTAATGGGAACAAAAAACTGAGACATACAGGAATCAAGAAATAAATATAGGAAATTATGAACATTTCACTGTTTTAGATGAGGTAAAAAATCCTTTACTTCATTACTCTTGGTAAAAATGGAACAATGTACACTGTCTAGCCTTTATAAGCCTTTCTTATTGGTTAATCAGGATTTGGTCTTTTTTTTATTTGTGCCATAAAAGCTGCTGTTGTTTTGTTGGCTGAGAGCCTCTTTTTCTCAAAGTCGTCCTGGGTGTGTCCTGCTAGACTTGAAATACTTCTGCTGTGTCAGAGTTTATTAATGCTTCTGATTTTGAGCTAAGCTGTATGACTAATGTCCTCTCCTCATCAGGATCCATGCAGTTTGCCCTCTCACTTATCTAGCAGAGCACAAACTGCTGTCTGCCTCTATTCATCGCCACATTTCTTCTTTCAAACCACATTTTAGTTCCCTCTCATTTTTTAGCATAATGATAATGGAACAGTGTATCTCATAGACAAAGAGAAGGTAAAACTGAAACAGTGTTTCCCTGTGGCCCTGCCTTGTCTGTGTGTTCTACTGATCAGCTGTCCAGCAGGGCCTGGTTCTGTTAGTAACTCACTGACAACAAGCAGAGCTCTGTTTGTCTACTGGGAGTGTCTCTTGTCACCCACTGACAAAGCAGTATAGTTGGAAGTGTTTTTATACTGAATTTGTAACACGTACTCCAAAGCTACACATAATCAAAAGGGTATTCTAATATTTTTATCTAGCTTTCATCATATAAAGAGCAGGTATTTTGCAATATTGGATTTTGGTTAACATATTTGCATCTCTGCAGTGTCTGTCTCTTTATGCTAGGATTCAAAACACACACTCAAATTTAAATTATATTACAATGCTTTGCTTCATGTATCCAATGTCTCTTCTCTTTCCTGCAGATCTGATGCTTGGCTGCAGCTGCCCCAGCCTCCATCATGTTCTCAAAGAAGAAAAAGACTCGTGTTCAGATCTCGGCTCCATCGAACTTCGAGCATCGTGTGCACACAGACTTCGATGAGCAGGAGCAGAAATTTGTGGGATTGCCTCGTCAATGGCAGTCCCTCATCGAAGACACGGCCAAACGGCCCAAACCCTTCATCGATGCAACTGTCATTACCACGGTAGAACCTCGCAAGGTAGCAGAGATCACGCTAAGCTTTGAAGTTAGTCTTTTGTTCAAAAGTCAAAGAAAGTCTTCTTATGTTGTAAATGTTGTGATTTTCAGACAATCGTGCGAGGTAACAAGATGGCAGTGGACGGCTCTCTAACATGGCTGTTGGATGAGTTTGACACCATGTCTGTAACTCGTTCCAACTCTCTACGACATGGAAGCCCCCCTCTTCCACCCCGGAGGGACCCGAGCAATCCAGGAGGAGGAGGAGGAGGAGGGGGAGGAGGGCAGGAGAATGGAGACCCTCATCACAGACACCATTCACACACAGAAAGGCAGGACAGGTTGGAAGTGAATCCGCTTCTCAGAATAAACCTATTTGCATTTCATTTTATTATTTTTGATTATTCCATATGATTTGTTTGAACAAAGTATATTATTTCATAGATTACCATCTACTTATTATATTAATCACAGATGTTTCATGTCTGTGCCATGTGTTGTGTTTATTCTCAGCCAAAGATCCAGGTTAGAACATCAGATTGGAACTGACCCTCACCAAGGTCAGAGGGCACTTCGTCCGGCTCTAAGGGATGAAGGAGTTCATATTCGGCCTCATCAGCAGCCGCGTGGCCAGGAGCCCAGCAGGGGCCAGAGGGACAAGCCAGGCTCTGGTCCTCCTCCTCCTCCTCACAGAGATAGAGAGTCACGGGACCAGGTCTGAAGAGAGTCACTGTCTTATCAGTTCATGTTCATTCATGATATAACGCATCAAGTTATCATCAGTGTGTGATTTCCTCCTGCGTTTAATGTTCCCTCACCTAACCTAAATAGAATTTGTCATTTGAGGAGCTTCATCGTATCATATTTTGTCACTATGGTTACTCACATTTGAATATGAATAGAATTGCTTAACTACACTTGTAATTCTTTAAATTTTGACAAAGAAATCTTTTTTTCCATTGGCAGGCTGTTCGCAGGGATCAGCCCAGTGATCACAGACCAAAGTCAAGCTACGTGACGCGGGATGGCAGTCCTCAGTCTCCTCGGGACAAAAGGCCTCTGTCTGGCCCTAATATTCGCACCCCAAACCTTCCAGTAACAGAGGGGGTAATAAAAACAGTGCAGCAGAGCACGCGGCCGTTCAACACATACCCTAGGACAGAAAGTGACGGTGGACGAAGCCCCACAGGACAGGTAGGGACAGAAGTGGGAATAGAAAGACAGTTCTCTCTGATCAGAACAAAGAGTCTTATTGTAGTGTGTCGTCTGAGAGAATAATGGCTGACAGCTGTAAATTGAGAGATGTTGATGGATAGTTGCGGCTGCCATCTTGAACCTTTGTTCCTCAGGTCAAACTTACTCATCACGTCAAGTTTCTCGCTCCTGAAATCTGTTAGTCATGCTTATACAGTGGTGTCAAGATTCATGCAGTTCAATTCCAGGGTGTTTTCAAAAAATGTTTAAGACAAACGCCCTTTTTGAATAGTTTTTTTTTTTTTGTATTTTCTTTGTAAAGTTAAACAAAGCCTTTCCCTTTCAGAAAATGTAGTGCAGTTCTAGTTTGGAGTCCTAACCTTGTGTGTTCTTATCTTCTCTGTTCCAGCCTGTTCATTACCCTGAATCTTCCCCACAAAACGGCCCCTCGAGTGGCTCAAGCCGAGGTCCTGCCAGTTCCAAACCTCCTATCAGCCATCCACATCCTCATCACACTTCCCACCCGAGCCTGGCCCCTGAGCCCCCCCAGCACCCACACACTCCACACCCCAACGTTCCAGCTCCAAAGCCTCCAGTGCCTTCAGTACCTCCGGGGTCCACTGCTCCATCTCAGGGTCGATCCCCACAGAGGGAGCCACAAAGGGTTTCCCATGAGCAATTTAGAGCAGCCTTACAGATGGTGGTGGATCCAGGGGACCCCAGGACCTACCTGGACCATTACATCAAGATTGGAGAAGGCTCCACAGGGATTGTGTGCATAGCCACAGTGAAGACAACAGGGAAACTGGTTGCTGTGAAGAAGATGGATCTGAGAAAACAGCAGCGCAGGGAGCTCCTCTTTAATGAGGTAACGCCTCACGATCCAGTAATGTTTTGTGGGTCGCATCGCTTAAATTCATAAGTGTTGAAAGCACTTGTTAACAGTCACATTACACTTGATACCTGGGAACAGAGTGATGAGTAACCAGACTGGTTCTCTGTTTGTCTCCTCAGCATTTAAATCTTGTGTGTGTGCGTCCACTTGTTCCCTGTAGGTTGTGATCATGCGGGACTATCATCATGATAATGTAGTGGAGATGTACAACAGCTACCTGGTTGGAGACGAGCTCTGGGTTGTCATGGAGTTTCTGGAAGGAGGAGCTCTCACTGACATTGTGACTCACACCAGGTTTGTGTTTGAGTATTATAATATCATAGACTGTAAATGATTACAATTATGGGACATAAGGAAAAAAGTGTTAATATTGCTGGAACAGAAAGAGAAGATGTTTGTGTTTGGCATCTGGTTTTATATCTGTGGCTTAGATATACTGTACAATATGCATCATTCTACAATTGCACCCATTAAAATGTAGTATAATTTTAATCTGATCAAATTGCTATTATAACAGCAGCAGACAAATCAAATTGCTATTATAACAGCAGCAGACTTTTGTCTGCTGCTGTTATAGTTAAAGTCATCATTGGGTTGCTGCATGAATGAGTGGTTCATTTTTGTGCTATGTAAATGTATTAAATTGTTGAGTTTTTATTTATTTGTCCCTTAGACAACGTCCCTCTACACATTTTCCCCTTTTGCCACAGGGGGGCAGTGTTACTTCTCATTTGATTCTGATAAAGTTCATAATACATTTTGAAGACGTTCTATCTGAACATAGACACAGAAAGCAGAAACATTGCATGTAGAAACTAAAAACAGACATTTTAAATTGTTAAACAGACAAACTGAATCTATGAATTGTTTTTCTCTTTCCAGGATGAATGAGGAACAGATTGCCACTGTGTGTCTGTCTGTCCTGAAGGCACTTTCTGTGCTCCACACACAGGGTGTAATTCACAGAGACATAAAGAGTGACTCCATCCTCCTCACTCATGATGGTCGGGTATGTAGTGTGTTACCATAGAAAAGTTGCTCTGAGAAAACGGTCGAAGGCTGTTAACGAGCTGTTAACAGTGCACTATGTCAGATGAGGGGAAAATAATTTTATTGGTACTAGTTGAGACTAAAATATTTGTGTTATATAATATAACACCTTTTTTGTTTGCAATGGATCACTTTATAAATGCATGTTTTTTTTCTTTTCGTTTTGATAACACAAGAAGGAACATTTTAAATGCATGTTTTTTTTCTTTTCGTTTTAACACAAGAAGGAACATTTACTTATATAGTACATTAGAATTATGAGCATTTAATGGGGCCTCCATGGAGGATCCTCATGAGTGATCATTCATGACCTTATATAAGCCTGCAGAGAACAAACAAGACTAAACAGCATTAGTGAATGAAGATCTAAGCATGCATCTCAGGACAATCTAGAAGGCAGGCCAAGCATCCCTGGTTTTGTAACGGAATGATTTCGCACAGTCTGGTCTGCAGACCCTGGAAGCCGATGGTCTTGAAGTGACACAGGCTTACTTTTTATTTTCACCTTGCCTGTAAGCAGTTAAGTTTTATTCTTTTACTGGCCTCTGTCTACTATTGGCTATATCTTTTAATATTATTCTGCAAGAAATTAATATATAAATAACGTTTTTTTTTTTTAAACACTTTCAGATCTAAAGTGTTTCTGCTTTCTAGAGAAATCGAAACTTGCATGGTTGCACAGCATGGTTGCACAGCAGCACTAGGGGAAATGTAGAACTCTGGGGCAGCAGTGTCTGGTGACCTTAGAAGACAGAGTTGGACAGTAGTTTTACAAATGGTTTACGTTTGACAAGTAAAGACAGATTCCTCTATGATGCTGTTCTCACTTTAAACTGGTAGTCTAGTTAAATTGATCAGTTGTCACAATTATTGTTTTTTTTTTGTTTGTTTGTTTGTTTCCTACATATAGTATACATGACACATGAATGTGTCAAGTATCAGATGATGAAGTGAGTTAAAAAACCACAGACCTTTGATGGTGCCTCATAAGCACTATGAGCAGTTGTGCACAGCTGCACCAAGCTTCCCTGACATAGTTCTTCTTTTTAAGTGTCTTTGCTGAATCATGTAAAAACAAAATCAAAAATTGTCTACATGGTGTGAGTTGGTTCACAAAAACTCAGTTTTGCTGTTGATCATATCATTTAACGCATATATTACAGTAGATGAGATGTTTGGTATGAAGAGATGATATATATGGTGTCTTCCCATGGCATACATAAAAACACAGATCACTGTCTCTGCTAAAAAAGAAAATTACTGAAAGAAGTGGAACATTTTTGGTCCTGTCCAGTCCTATCATGTTTTCGATAAATCGTCTGATAATGTCTAGTTGTATTATGGTCAGCTTGAAAAATATCTCTATTCCTGAGAAACATGCAAATTTGTTGACACCAGAGTAACATGCTAGTTCCTTTTTTTTTTCTTTGACCTTCAGTTTTCTCAGATATGTGGCCGACAGCAGGTGTTGACCTTAGTCCTTAGGCCACTCAGTTAATGAAGCGTAACAGCGCTAACAAAAATAGCTATTGATATTCACTTCTGTCCTTCTGCACTTTTTTCTCTCTTCTCTGTCCAGATTAAGCTATCTGATTTTGGGTTCTGTGCTCAAGTGTCAAAGGAAGTGCAGAGAAGAAAGTCTCTGGTTGGAACGCCATACTGGATGGCTCCAGAGCTCATATCCAGGTTGCCGTACGGACCAGAGGTAAGTTACCCTGCTTCTTTTTTTCACCTTGTATTCAGTTGTTACAACACACTCATTAATACGGTTTTCTGACTTTGCTATCGATACAGGTGGACATCTGGTCTCTGGGTATCATGGTCATAGAGATGGTGGATGGAGAGCCACCGTACTTCAACGAGCCACCACTCAAAGCCATGAAAATGATTCGAGACAACCTGCCACCTAAACTAAAGAATCTGCACAAGGTAATGAGAGATTAAACTTCATGGATTTGACAGGTCACCTTAAATAAAAGTCTTGATAGACGGCCATGATGATGTTTGTCTTCCTCTCCACCTGCCAGGTTTCTCCTGTACTCAAAGGCTTCCTGGACAGGATGTTGGTGCGAGAACCTGCTCAGAGGGCCACAGCCAGTGAGCTCCTCAAACACCCCTTCCTGACGAAGGCCGGTCCGCCGTCCTGCATCGTCCCTCTGATGAGACAGAACAGGATGAGATGAGACTTGTTACACTTGGACCTCTGTAGACTGGAGATTTGGAGTGAGTCGGTTCAGGTAGACCAGAATACTGCTGCACACAAATGAGTGGCCCACACGGGACACACATCACAGATGACAGGAGTGTGGAGTGAGTGTAGAGCAGGTGTGCAGGACAATTCTAATGTTTGATGTGAATCACTGAACTGTTGGGGGATTCTCTCCTGAAAAATGGCAATAAGGCAGGGTGTGTGTGTTTGTGTGTGTGTGTGTGAGAGTGAGACAGTGTGTGAAGCCAATGCTGTTTGTTACAGAATTAAGTGGCCCTAGTTTTTTCTGGTGTGCGTGAGTGTGAGGACACTTACATCTGAAACCTTCCAACCTGGAACGACTGTTGTAATTTTATAATTGGGAAACAACCTGGATTTTATGGGTTTGCACAGCATTTAGATGATTTTAAGAAGCTGCCCCTCGATTGGCTGAGTGATGGTCAGAACAGAATTTGAAATTCACTGTCTGGAAGCCAAATGTTTTTCTCTTAAAGGACCTCACCTACCAATGGATCCCACACCCTGACACTGACCCACATCCTCATCACACCCAGACCTTACTACTGAGGGAGGATGCTTTTTTTTGACTCATGAATGAGCCACGTGGACTTTTATTTTGTAGCTATAAAAACTCTAACTTTCTGTTGTAAACAAGTAAAAGAACAGACACTAAAATGAGAGGTAAACACTGGAGTTGTGTTTTTTTAACAGATTTTTTTTTGTCTTATTTTCCTGTGTAAGTACAATGAATATAGAGAGATATATCAATTTTGATGTTTTACTTTCTGTATTTTGTGATTGTTTTCAAATGATTATCATGGTTTTTACTGGTTTGAGAGTGAGATGTGATTTCAAAGGCCTGTGGACAATGGATAGAAGCTGCACGACTAGTTGATCATAGCACACAGATCACAGACACTAAGGTGTGTGTCACTAAGCCCCTCAGATACATTTCTGTAGAAAAAAAAATCAGATTAAAGTATATGAACACTTAAATAGAAAACATGTTTTTAAACGACCTATGTCTAAACCATGTCTTCTTGTCTGGACCCAGTTAAACCTACACGCGTACTATAGCAAGGTGCTTCAGTCCAACGTTTTTAAAATCCCCTGTTAACACCAGATGTGAATCAGAAATAGACTTATTTAAGTTGCTGCTTCACAAAACAAGATGCGAGAGCGTCAAACGGTGTCTTCTTCGACCTACCAGGATTTCCCCTGTCACCTGCTTTGGAGTCATGACCTTTCATCAGACAAATACTGTCTGACATTTTGTTTTTCTGAACATCTTGATTCGAAATGAATACAAATTGCTGTAAGGGCAGATGACAACAATGTGTTTTTTCTATTCTGCGGTGCCTGTCGGGCTCCTTATATGGCAGTCACTGTCCTTCAACAAACACACAGCGGCTGTTGTTTACAGTGAACGGTCAGCTGTCGAGGGAGTGCTCATCGTGTTCTTCTACTACACTGCACATCCAGGCAAATCCATGAATGTTTGATTGTCTGGTTAAATATTCTCCCAGAACATGAACACACCTCTCAGTGTAAAAGTCATTTATTCAGATTGACCTGGTCTGTTAAATTTGAACAGTGCTGACAAAACACCAAGTCAGAATGCTGAATGAATGAATTACTGCTGTGTGTGTTCGTGTGTTTGTGGTCTGGATCTTATTATCCTCCCACTTCTGTCCTGAGGTTACAGTTACACACTGTGCTGTTGTAGCAGTGGGCAGTGATTTATACTGAGGGCACGGATTACAGATTAGGCCTCGGCTGTGTTATCAATCCTCCTCTCACTCATGATGAGACGCAACGATGCACAAAACGGTCTGCACATATACATTCCTCCTCTTTAAGCTCACATTTAAGTATGCATTTTTTTTCACCTCTGACTTTTTTATTTACTTCCAAACCATAACTAAACAAGTTGATGATTTCTGTGAATCTTATCTCTGTACACATAACACTAACTGTTCATGTTCTGCACACAAAAAAAGGTTTAATATGCTGTGATATAATGCAATGTTACACTGCTGATGCTGAACAATCGCTTTCATGTGTAAAGCTCATACTTTCACAAAGTTGAACTCTGTGCAGGTCTGAACGACATTATCTCTCTGGACTTACTTTCTAAAGAAGGTTCAGTTTACGCTGAAAGAACAGATCGATGACAATCAGACAGAGGAGAAGCAGTTCATTTGTTTAATCTGTGATATTGTAAAAGACACAAAACAGGGACTTTCTCACTCCGACTTTTTTTTTCTTCAGAATTTTCTTTTTTTAATTTTGACTAATCTAACACAAACCTGGCTCCATTACAAGGATAGGGATCAGAATGGAAAAAGCATCTATTCAAAATGACCTGCAAATATTGGTGGTTTTGAGTATGGCTGTATGATATGAATTTTTAATTAATTTCACTAAATATTGCGATTTAAAGATGTCATTTTGACAGCCTTACGTTTAAGATGTTTTTACGTGAAGGCTGCAGTTTGGGAATTTGACTATTTTATAAAAGGATGAAGTCAAAACAGGACTAAACAGGAGGGACATTCAAGTTAATTCAATATCTTATTTTATAAAAATACATATATTTGGTCTTTGTATATCCTAAAGATCCAGGTTACGGCCCACTGCTCTCTAGATGGTCTTATTTTGATCAAGTATGTTCATTTACCACTGCAACCTTATTGTAGTGACTTTTACTGTGTTCATATTCTGGACTTGCTAGTTTTAGACTATTTCAGAAGTACTTGTGTGTACACATCCCTCCTGTATTTGGTTTTTTCCCGTTTTAGTCATTTGTCTCAACTATCTTGCATTAATTTCCTCTGTTCGCAGAGTGTGTGATATTTTAGACTCTTTCACAATGTTGTCATCGTGTAAAAACCCAAACGACTTCTCACTTGATATAAATGATGTTCACATCACAGTTCAGACCCACTCAGACATCATACCCATACTGTCTAAAGGTCTCCGTGTGTGACCAACACACAGAAGGCCTGTAAAGACTCTACTGCTGTTTGTTTTTGTATTTTGTTCTTCTTTTTTTTAAAACTTCTGTGAACAACTAATTCATGCCTTAACACTTAATGGATTTGACTCTGACACTATGACTGTTATTGATGGTGAAGGCTCATTTCTGACCTGTTCTGATCTTCCCAGCTCTTCCAAACACTCTTTGTTGGTCCTTTCCTACTGGACCGTTTCACTGAGTCCAACATGGTTACTAAGATAGTGACCGCCAGCAGCCTGGTGTCAAATCTGCCGCACAACATCCTTCCGTTTATTGACTGTTATCTTTCTCACTGACACTGACTTCAAGTCTGATTTTGTTGATCTGTGGGCATATTGACATGATTGTGTCAGACATCCTTTTTTGTGTGTGTAAATTTCACTGGTATTGTAAAAAAAAAAAACATAGATGTCACATTACAAAAATTTACTTTTTTTGCAAATACATTTTTTGTAAGAGTTGTTTCCAGTGTGTGTTTGTTATTCTTTAAAAAAACATGAATTGGTGGTTGTGTGGGATGGCTTTTTGAAACACTGCTAAGATTTATTCTCACTGATATCGGACGACGCCACTTTCTCTGTGTGCTCTGAAAAGAACAACTGTTTGTTCTGCATTTCTCCACCACAGTCACATACGTCACTCAGAGTCACCTTGTTACTGCATTTTTGTACATAAGCGGTGTTTTACATCACAGTGACATTTGAAATATATGCAGCGGATTATGAGGAACTTTAACAAATGGTTCTTAGAAGTGCTGACTGTTTTTCTGCTGTGGCCAAACCCTGTTACTGTATGGTGATGCAAATAAGGACAATGGAGTGGAAAAAGTGGTTCCTCCCTGTTCTAACAATTGCTGTCTTCATGTCTCTGTGCTAAGACGGTTAAGAAAAAGTTTCTCAGGAATAATGAAAAACACAATTGCACAACAGTTGTGAATTTATACTGCCATATTTAAAACCAGTTTATATACAGTCTGTACAAAAAGACTTCTTGTGTGAGCTACATAACTATAGCTTGACACTGGGTCACATACTTCAGATCTAGAACTGTATTTCTTACAGTTCTCTTTAATTTTTCTTGCTCCGTTCGTCTTAATGACAGCTGCAGTTACTGTGCTATTTTCATATCAATCTGTAATTACATTACCTAATAATCATGGTAATGATTAGGGAAACTCCCGTGATGCTCCGAGCACATCCTTCTCCTCTCGCGGTGTATTTATATGACAAAGTGTGAAAATGTGTAGGGTTTTTTTTTCTCTCTGTCCTCATTCTGCAGGTACCAGTAGACTGTCATCACAGTACTCTGGTTCCACAGAGTCTGATTCAGAGTGACAGATTAAAGGTGTAATAAACAGCCTGATGCAGGTGTTGATGAGTGTTGTTGGGTGTACGGTAGATGCTCAGCTCCGTCGTTCTTTTTTTATTTTTTTATAGCATTTCCAATTTTCTCATCAGTGTGGAGGGTTCACTGCAGAGTTTTTACGGTAAACATTCAAAGTGAAAGCTGGGCTATTCTTACACAGTGACTGCAGCTATTGCAGCGATCGCAGACCACAGCTCACAGTCTGTGGTTTGAGTGTGTGTCAAAGACAGAGAAGAAGAACAAGCCTTTAAAAGTCTGCTCTTTAAAATAAGGAGGTAGTGTAGAACATTTAATAAATAAATTACCATACCATAAATATTACTAAACAGAGTTTTTTTCCATCTGTGTACCTGCACCAAGTATGTGTTATATTCACACGCAGAGCAGGACTTCTCTCTGAAGCCCACCATGTTGGTTTACCAGGTTTGACGTGTTAAGACAGAGATTGTGGGTTCAATTAAGTCTTTTTTTTTTAATCTTTCACTGTAAAATACAGTTGAGGACAATCGTGTATATCTGTGTTTTCTTCACGTACTCTGGGGGAAAACAAAAACATTAGCCACCTGATTCCTGTTGTTGTAGCCTTGACAGTGTGCAGTTGTCTGGACTGCTTTTTCAGTGCCTTATGGTCAGTTTGTTTGACAAATGTACTTCTGTGTTTGTCCGTGGGAATGTTGTTCTTTGTGTTACATAACTCCCCTCTTTCTTCAGATATATAGGTGACACCCATATGTCCAAATTGATCTAGATTTGTACCATTGCTAAATAATGTGCTCACAGTGTTGCTATTCGTCACAATTCTCCAGGTTCCTTGTAGCAGTTCTGTTAGTAGGGGTCTCTAACCA